TTTGGCAGAGTTTTGTGCGTGGCCAGACAAACTGTTACCTCTGTGCAGAACATGAAGTCCCTCCTTGCCCTACCCCATGTCCTTCAAACATAACCAAGTGGAAATGCAGAAGATAAGCTGCTGCGGTAGCGTTTCCTCACTGGCAGCCAGACAGGGTGAACCAACAGGATACATGAAGGGGTTTCAGCAAGAGGAAGAGTAAAGTTCTGGACTATTTTCCTTTAGTTTAATCTCTGCCACCTGCCATGAGGCTCCCGTATCTTTGAGCCTGAGAAGGCCCCATTTTGTTCAGTTCAGTTTAATCGCTGCATTTAAATATGTGTGTAAAAAAACAACAACAAAACGCCATCTGCATGAAACCAAATTTGATATTCTCTCCCTCTCCTAATGTGATCCCATGAATTTCTTGCATTGTTGTGTCCCATGTACTAAGGGTCCCATGCAGAGAGCAAACAATAAAGCAGCGAGAAGACAGATGCTCTGCTAATGGGAAACCAAGGAGAAGAGAGTCTGTGAGGGATTACAGGCAGCCTGGGGTTGGAATACATTATTAGCATAGCACCCAATTCAGAAATTAGTTTTCAGAATTAAATGCCTGAAGCGTTTTGGCAAAAACTGCTGATCATCTCTCTCAAAAGCCCTTAGAGCATAAAAGAGTAGGAATCTCAAGTCTAGGCTGGGCAATCGCATTTGGTGACTTTGCAGTGCTGTAACAGTGAATTGTAGTTTTTACAGCTTCATACCATTACCGGGGCAGCAACTGCCACACCTACTGAAATGTAACCCACTCGATCTGCTTGCACAAACCTTTAGCAGGTTTTGAACATCCTCATCAAAGAAGAAACTGAGCCTGAATGAGATTCCAGGGTCTGTTTCCAGGAGGAAGGTTTTGTTTTGTTGAGTGCATAACAGCAGGGAAGTGCATCAGCCTCTCCTTGGGCACGGTTAGGCATGCAAAGGAGAAGTAGTGACATGTCTTTTCAGAGATCTGACATTGCTAAGGTAGAAACTTTGGGTCCTGAAGCCTTTTTCAGGCATGCTATTTTCTGAATGTTTTTGCTTTTGAAAATCATGATGAGAACATGAAACTTTGAAAGACCCTGGGTAGACAACCAAGATTGGTTACAGGACTGAGGGCAGACAGGAGAAATTGTTTCTCATAGTACTTGGTGGGATTATCCTCCATGCATAATTGTTCATTATATGCTCAAAATTCATTGTTAATTTCTTTTGGATATATTGCACATTAGACAGAAGAGTTATAAACCCCAAGATTATCACAGGAGGGCACTTAACAGGCCTAAATATTCAGGACAGAAGGGGACTTGTTTTCCTCTTACATTGAAACAAAGACTCTTGGACAGAATCATTAAGAGATTTTTTTTTGACCGTTTGATAATCAAAGTATAGTGGACAGCAAACAAAAGAAAAGTTTGGCCAGCCAAGTCTTCTACTTCATTTTTACTCTTCTATTCTAAAATAATTAACATATTTCTCAAGGTTTATTTCGTTTCCCAGAGTCTTATTTTATGTAAGTATCATTGGGGAGCTTGATTACAAAGTCTTCATTCATGCACATAAAGTGACAACTATCCTGGGAGAGAAGTCAAGGACAAGGTAATATGGGAGAAATCAGTTGGGACCAAGCTAAGAAATCAGGAAAAATAATGTACCAGCTCTTCAGCGTGCACTTGTTCTATTTGCATCTGGGTAACTAGCATCTTATTTTGAAGTCACAGAAGTGAGAGTGAAGGGTAACACTTCATTTTCAGCTTTGAATTTCAGAGCTGTTCTTTTTATAACAACTTCTTTCCATGCTTTTATATATATGCTTAATGAGCATCTATAATGAATATTTGGGAAAGTTCAAAATTATGGTTCTTATTTGTCCTGGGTACAGACTGTCTGTAGACTGCTGAACATTTCTGTCTAGTTTGAGGTTGGTCTGTATTTACATCATCTTACTGGTCTGCCAACAAAATATTTTAAAAAAAAAAAAAAAAACCTGGCAGATAGGAAGCCCTCATAGAGTAAGGCTAGAATTGAGCCCAGTACTGCTTGCATCCCAGATGAAATTGTACGTATAAAATACCATGTGTACAGGAAGCATAGCTGTGATTTGGCTTCTCCGCTAGAGTCTTGCCTATCAGCCTGTATTCACCATTTCAACCTCAGTCTCTTTTTCACGTCTTCAGATTGCAAGGGATGGCTGGTGTGCGCAAAAGCTCTTTTCCCCCCTCCAACTATGTCGGTAATAAAAGAGGCTACAAGTCTGTAGAGCATAGCCTCACCTTCTCTTGCAGTTACCTAGTTCACAAGCTGTGGGGGACCAGTGCGTCTTCCACCCAGCCCCGCTGGGAACCCACCATCGGGGAGGCTCCTGCGTGTGCTGTTGTCTGCAGTCTGGAGCAAGTCACAACTTCTCTCTCATTGCACACGCAAGATTTGTGAAGGTTAATGGTAGTCAAGTGCTTCAAAGACAGAGGTTGCTAATTTTAGTTAGTATTTTAAGACTTCATTTGTAAGGTCTCCTTCTAAAATTGAAAACCTAGCACAACAGCCCTGTTTGAACTCTCCAAGTTAAGAACAAACACTGCAAAGCAGATGTTGACAGGTGAGCTACAAAAATGCAGAGAAAACAATTTATTATTTACCTTTAAACAGCAGTGTCCACAGTACTACCATAATGTAGAAAACAGTGCTGCTAGGATCCGAGGCTGTTATTCTTTTCCAGTCCAAATAAATTTAAAGCACAAGCAGAGCTGAATCCAAAACCCTGATCTCACTGAATCGGGTCTCCAGTTTGTCTGGGATCAATAACTGTGATCAGAAAAGAGAAGAATGTCATGGTAAAGGACAGCTCCCCGAGCCCATGAAATATTTTATCACTGCTGTTAAGACTTACTGCCATTTTGCAAAGTCTTCTTAATTGGGTAATCCAGTTCTGGATGCATTTGACAAATAACAATTCTCTTGTTAAAAACAAATCATGGTTTTAATTTAATAGGGTTACTCATATAAAGAGTGATTTTGTGTCAGCAAAACCTTTCTTTCTGACAAACAGTGTAATTTATGACAGTCTAGTTAGCAATAAATGACATTAATCTGACCACTATGCCATTCTGTTCCTGGGGAATAATGTTCCCTCTTAATCAATAGCTGGATAAATGCTCCTTTGCATTCCTTATCAAATGACAGCCAGATGGTACTGGTAAATTCATTCCAGCAGGATTTTAGAATTAGCTGGGTTTGTACTATTGTTAATCCTCTGCTGTCTGCGCCACTAGGACCTACCCACCTGTTTCCAGTAACCCTCGAGTTAGCAGCCTTAGGAAATAGTCTAGCCAGATGGTTACTCAGATACAGTGCAGCCAAGAAGCATCCCAAGCAGTGAGGTCTTTTTTTTCTGCGTCAGAAAGGAGAAGAAAAAGGCAAAAAACAGTATTGTGCAGAAACAGCCAGCTAGGCCTGCCCGCCTCTGCGTTTGCGCCTCAACACCCCGGTCACTTGTGGTGACGTTTCAAGGTTTCTTAAGATTGCATGAGCTGTGCTCCTTAGCGCGTAGTAAATTTGGAGCTGTGGCAGCGGCCATACCATCGTTTACCGACTTTCTGGGCCCATCAAAGTGGCCGAGAGACCTTTTCCTTCATAATCACTTCGTTGCATAGCAACAGTAATTTTGTTTCCAACATATTGATCTGAAATAACACGTAATCCCCTCACACCAATAAAAAGGAAAACATATGGCAGCTCTAGGCTGGGAACGACTGGCTTTTGAAGTGAGGGGACAGTTAATCCCCACTAAATCAAGGGGGGAATGGAACAAGCCGTAAGCTCTGTTAGGCTGAGGCTCCGAGGATGCGTTAGATGTCTGAGCCAATTAACCTGTGCTCTGGGAGAAGAGTCCAGCTTAGACTTATCCTCCCCATTCCGTCTTTTATCTTGTGCAACTGAAGTACAATTCAGGTGAGCTTTGCTACAACCTTAATTGCTGAAATAAGCAGCGCTATGCAATACCATACAAATAACCGGACGCCCCTTCCCTCTGGCAGGAAAGAGAGCACATGCAGCACTTGGCTTATATGGGACTGCAGTAGGTGAGGGTAAAGTTCAGCCACTGCAAATACCGGTTTCAAAATTACATGGCTGGAGTTCTTCAGGCAAATGCCTCTTGCCTGTAGGGTAGTTGTTTGGTAGGTCAGTCATCTGGCCTGATAACCTCGATACTTTTTCTGTAGCTCTAAACGCAGGGCTGAAGGCAGACTTTGGCATCTGAAACAGGTTCTGCTTTGGGGATGCAAGTACAAAGTTAAGGTCAAAAATACTCAGGCAGGGAACACAGAGCTTTGGTCCCAAGTGGGCAAAGGATCTCCCTGTGGCCGTGGAGCATGGGCTGACGGTTGGGGTTTGTATCAGCTTTCTGGGGTACCTTACTGTTGTGCACGTTGTGCAGCAAACCCAAGCTCTTACAACCAGACTTTTAGATTCTTCCCTGGATAAAAACCTTGGTATCCATGAGGCAGCTAAATCCTCCTTGGGCCTGTCTTCATTTTCTAGTGAGCCCACAGCACTGAGTGAAATGTAGGTCCAAAATCTGAGTCAGTACGCATCTGGTCACTAATCTGAGCAGGAGTCGGGAGGTAAGTCCTATGTTATTTACTTCCCCAGCAACAACAATCAAAAGAGTGAATTCAAGCTAATTCCAGCACACCAATGCAAACTTGCCAGATAGGCTTCAAAAATAAAAATCAAACTCAAAATAATATTGTTACAGTGGAAACTCAATGGAAATCTCGCGGTGGTTCAGGAGGCCAAGCTGGTGTCTGAGTATGCTGCAAGAGCAGAGCGAAGGCTTCTGAGTCACTGTCTCCCAAACCTATTGTATAGTTTGCTATCATATACAGCACAGGCTGGAAAATAGCGCAGCGTCCACTTGAAAGGTATTTCTGCAGCTAGAGGAGTGGCTACTAATAATCCTTTCTTTTCTGTCGTTTGAACAGTATTCAGGTTTTCAGCAAACAGCGGACAAGTGCTTTGTTTGTGGACACCTCATAATGGAAATGGTAAGAAAGAGACCTAAATTCCTAACCGCGGGGTAGCTTGCTTTTCCCGTACTTTGGATAGGGCATTGTGAGACGTTGTGCGTTTTCCCCGTCAGACTGTCATTGTGTCTTTGCTGCTGTCAAGGTAATTTTTGAAACTGAGGCAGTAAATAAATAAAAATACCTTCGTGCTCTATTACTATTAAGGACAGTAAACTGCGCTTCTTTCTACCTGCGGTCATGGGAGGCTGTTGTTCTGCCACATGCCAG